GAAGTATTTGTTTTGGTTACAAGCTCAATGCTTTGATATTTTGGACGAAGGTCCTTCCATTGAATTACTAGCTTGTCGCTTTTTGTTCCTGTCTTTGTTCAAGTCCGTGTTTCGTTTGTTCTTCTCCTCAGTTATTGCTTCTACAGGAATTGAGTACTTAGCTGAAGCTTCTTCTAATGTGAAATACTAAATGAAGGTATTAAGTTGGATGATTTGTGTATATATAAATAACTTACTTGTTTGTCTATTCTAAGACGAAGCGTTCGTTTGTCTACAAGCACGAATTGAACGTTGTATTTGGGGTCAGCCTTCTTTTTCTCCAGCATTTGTGCAATGATAAGACGTTTAAGAGAACATGCCATTTCATAACTTTGGCGCTCTTGAGGGGTTAAAACCCTACCAACTGTGACCCAACTTTCTGAAATAGATATATCTAATTATGTCGTTTTGACTGGTTGCTACTTATCAAGTCAACGGTATACGATGTAGTTAACATTTAGTCCTATTATATCATTGTACTTTTATGATGAAAAAAGCGGAGAAAGAATTGGTGCAGCTGAAGACCTGTGATGTTCTAATACTCATAACTCATAATTACAAGTAGCTATAACTAAAAAATCCTTTGGATATGTCCAGTTCTTACTAGTATGACATGAAAATCAAAAATAGAAGTTTATAGCAATTTTTAGTGCTAAAAGAGATTTGAGATATGGACAGAAAACTCTCAACTTATCTTTTTATGGTCGATAGTACATAACTAGGTCAACAACGTTAGACGATATTACTACTGTACTGCTGATATAACCATATAAACACGTAGCCGCGATCTTGTACATAATTTGTGCAATCACGTAGTGCATGAGGCAACACGCAATCTAGAGTTCATAAAATACGAATTTAGGCATGATAGGTTTTATAACTTTGTTTCGTTTACTTTTTGTTCATACCTTTTGTTCATACCATTCAGCTCTGTTTATGTTACATGCGAACATTACTGTGTAATCATTTTGGTCGCTAATCTATGATCTTTCGTTGCATACATACATACATCTGT